CAAAGTGCAGCTCCGAAAAAAGTGAATACAATAATATTCAATCACTATTATACAGATTATTACTACCAAACTCACTACACACATCAATAGTCTCCTGGTGGTCATACTACAGCAGACAGTTTTGAAGAATATGCTTTTGAATAATTTTGGGGAATATTTATAATGTAAAATCTTCAATAAATATGGCATCATCTTAAATAACTTTACTATTATACAGTATATTTCTACCAAACTCACTATTTGCATTGTTGTTGTTAGCATCTGGTTAGCTAGCTACGCTAACGGATAAAAGCTGTTTCTCAAACAATGAGAGGGAGAGCTCTGTCCTGTCAGACTGAGAGAGATAACAACAGCTCAGTGAGGTAAGGGACTCTGTTTAGATAGTTAACTTTAGTCTAGTTATCTCAGTGGGTCTTAAACGTTTTGGTCACCATTTATGAGAATAAATGAAAAACAGTTATGAAATACTATGACAGTAAAACAAGAATACAGTTTAAAAGGGGAGTGATTTGTAAAATATCCATAAAGAAAATCTTCCCAGGGGAGCAGGCCCCCGGACCCCCCGGAGGTGAGGACCCCCCCCCAACTTATACAATAGCACTTTACCTCTGCTTACAGCTATATGCCATTTTATATGCTGTGAGCTGATTATCTAGCNTATATTGGCTTTTTTTTATCAACATGTGATTGTAGTTCGTTGTCAACCTTATGAACAAAACGTTATTCAGACACAAATGACGTCTCCTAAGTACCATGGTAAGGTTGACAACGAACTACAATCACATGTTGATAAAAAAAAGCCAATATACACCGTCCTCCGAGCTGGACACATTACATTGGTCTCTTTCCGCAGCCGGAGAAGAAACGAGTGCTCAGGGACCGTCTGCAAAGTGCAGCTCCGAAAAAAGTGAATACAATAATATTCANAGACTGCTGATCTGACTGCTGTCCAGAGGACCGTCATTGACACCCTCCATCAGGAGGGTAAGACACAAAAAGAAATTTCTCAAAGAGCAAGCTGTTCACTGTGAACAGCTTGCTCTTTGAGAAATTTCTTTTTGTGTCTTACCCTCCTGATGGAGGGTGTCAATGACGGTCCTCTGGACAGCAGTCAGATCAGCAGTCTTCCCCATACTTGTGATTTAGTTTACTGAACCAAGCTGAGTGTTTTTCAAGGCTCAGGAAACCCTTGCAGGTGTTTCGAGTTAATTAGACGATTCAAGTGATTCGTTGAACACCCTACTAGTATACTTTTTCATGATATTCTAATATTTAGAGATAGGATATTTGAGTTTTCTTAAGCTGTATGCCATAATCAGCAATATTAAAATAATAAAAGGCTTGCAATATTTCAGTTGATTTGTAATGAATCCAGAATGTATGACATTTTTGTTTTTTTAATTGCATTACAGAAAATAAAGAACTTTATCACAATATTCTAATTTTCTGAGACAGTCCTGTAGGTTCCACTTCTTCATTGTATGAGCTGTGTGTGTGTGTGTTTCACTTCCCTTATTGGACAATTGTTTGCCCAATGCTCTTTTTCCCTACAAATGAAGCACTCAACTTTCTCCACTGGGAGTCCCTGTAAACCACGTTCTCTGCCTCCTCTGCCACGCTCCTGGCCTTTTCTGTTGTAGTTACAGAAATGTACATCCCCCTGCAATCATGTCTATTACCTCTTTAATGAATGATTTATTTTACTTTTCGATTTGTACTCGTTCATTTATTCTTAAGATTATGTTCTTTGTCTTGAATCCATGTTTCTATTTGTTGGCTGTATTGACCTTTCTAATTTTCTATCGCACTGTAAAAATGCCTGTCCTTTCCTTTCTCACAGTCCAATGAGAAGTCTCCTAAATCCCTCCTGAGATAAAACAGAGCTAGAAGTCTTTAGGTGGAGTTATGAGCTTTCTGACAGTAGTACAGTATTGTTCATAAATCGCTGCTGATTAAAATGAAGGGGAAAAATGAAGCACTCAGTGGGTTTGGTAAACTGACTGTAAAGGCATTCATGCTGGTCATGCTACATCCTTCCTGGAATAGCCAATAAGTACGACGGCTTTATGTCAAACTCATGCATGCTCATCACCTTATATTTCCATATTGAAAATGACGATCACATATGAGTACAATTCCTGTGGCATTTTCTTTGCATGTGTTCAGCATTGATAGCTATAAAGGTGTCTGTCTGAATAGTATCTAAAGATGTCATACAGTCCCACTTTTGCAGCCATCAATGACCCTTAAATATCTTGCTTTTGTCGAAAAAAACAAAAATATTTCAGGTTTATAGTAGGATGCATTTTTTATAAAAAAAGGAAGGTTATAGCACTTCCTCTCTGACCCCCCTTCTCTCCCCACCCCTGGTTTGGGTGAATAAATAGCGGGTGAATTTCCCTCTCAGGCACTTCACTCCGTTTCCTCTGCTTGCAGTCTGACTGGTGCAAACTCTGTGAGTATTCTTGATTTACATTTTGATAGATGGGTTCATACATTTATGTGCAAGAATAGTTTGATGCATGAATAAATTAGTGCAGTTTAGTAAAGATGTTCTGCTGATATTACGGTTTTCGTGTTGATACAAACTATAAAAAAAAATCAGCGAATCAAAAATCACTGGTGGTGGTAAAAAATAAAATGGCAAACCATCTGACAAAATATGTTTTCAAAGCATTTTCAGGGTTCTACATGTTTATAACAGGGACTTTTTTGTTTGAATCAGAATCATGAGCAAGAACTTCTTGTCCAGAAATGATGAGCTCCGCAAGGGAGACCATCTGGTGTCCAACAACGGAGAGTTTAAGGCTGTCTTCCAGGTGAGTGACTCAGAATATTTGTGCACTTGAGACTCTTATCAGGATGCATCATACAAATGCAATGATCTGAACAAATGTTAAGGCAAAAATATGAGAACATCAGTTTTGAAAGCGCACAGTTAACAATCAGACGTCTCCGTTTCTGCTGCAGGACGATGGTAACTTTGTGGTCTATGGCTATAAGCCTGTCTGGGCTTCAGGCACTGATGGGCCAGAAGCTTTCCGCCTGATCATGCAGGATGACTGCAACCTGGTCATATACAACAATGGTGACAAAGGCTTGTGGCAGGCAAACTCTTCCAGACCTAACACTGGCAGGTGCCGCCTTCAGCTGACCGATGATGGCAAACTGGTGGTGAGCAGGGCTGCTGAAGTAGTCTGGACCTCTTCTTAATGAGGCATGAAGTGATCCATGATGTATGTCAAAGTCATGTCAATTTGTCACCAGTAAAACATACCTGTTATGTAATCTGGGATTAAATAAAACAAAATTCACAATGCATTATGAGTTTTTCATTCTTTTTGTAGAGGCCTATGTTCTGGCTTCATTGTGTGTTGAATCTCCGCTTATTTAGACTCCAGGTATAGGAAAAAGAGTAGCATTTGTATACCTAAGCTAGGGGTGCATTTACTAATGACAATAGCATTGATGTGTGTGAAAGAGGGAGATGTACATGTATGTTAAATACTTCTGGATACTGAGTGATTGAACAACTTACCTATGTAGATGGTAGAAGGAGCCTTATCTGTGATAATCAGTGGCAGGGTGTTACTGTTTGAGTTGAATTGGAAAGTATGATTCTCAAGAGAACAGAATGCTGTATAAGTGATAATATTCTAAGAGCCTTACATGACAGAAGAGAATCGATCAATGACCATTGTCATATCATGGCTTTATTATCTTTTGACAGAGACACTTGCCTATAATCTCATGACAGAACATGTATAAACAAACTGTCTCTTATTTTCTTGAATATATGTTTTGGTTTCTTGGAAGCAATTACCATTCTAATGTGCAATTGCACCTTTTTAAAAAAAAAAAGTCTGTAATGCAATTCGTTTTTGAAATGGCTATAGAAATATAAAATAAGGTTTATTTGTATTATTGATACAGCCTTATTGATATCACTATCCATTCTATGCCTTATGTCATGGAGAGTGTGATTGTCTGTTTTTGAACACATTTTCAAAAGAAAGTCACCTGGTAAACCACACCTCCTCACTAAGGTAAAGGTGTCTGTCCTTTCCTTTCTCACAGTTCTTGAGAAGTATTATAAATCCCTCCTGAGAGGACAATGCTAGAATTATTTAGGCTGAGTTCTGACCTTTCTGACAGAAGTACTGTTTTCCGCTTTAAGTCCTACTGACAATGAAGCACTTCAGTAGAAAATTCAGTGTTTTTGGTAAACTGACTGAAAGGTATTTTTTCTGTTACGCTACAAACTTCATGCCCATAATAATGATGAGCTTCATGTCAAGGTCATGCATTGTCTCTCCCTTCAGTAGTGTTTTATTTGTCATATCAATTTGGGATTAACAAAGTATATTTCATCTTAAATTAATCGGTATTTGTTGCCTGTTGAGAATTACTCAACTGATAAACACAGATTGGTAAAATTCCTGGGGCACTTTCTTGTTCATGTATTCATCATTGATAGCTAGTTATTTGCTTTTCACTTTTTTCTAGCAAGATTGCAAACAAGTCAATTCAAAAGGCACTTGCAGTCATGAAAAGGTTTAGATATTTGAAAAGTCTTTGTATATTGTAAGTAAGATGTAAATTATTCCAGTTTAATGGAAGTATTAAATAACGGTTTTATTCAGATACAGATCGGCAGTAGTTGATTTTCGTTATCTATTCCGGCCTCCCTCTTTTTACAGTGTTTGAGTGTCTAGCCTTGTACGTGCTATGACTGGGGGTTTAGTTGTGAGTTTTCGAAGGTTCACACTTTGAAAACTCAATATTCTCATTGTATGCTTGTATTCCCAAATGTTTGTATTATGTCATTTGGATAACTTTCCTTCCAAATGAACATAGTGGCCAATTTATTATTAGACTGGTATTAACGATTAAGGTTAGCCTACACAAATGGTGGTTTGCGCTGCTTATCACTTTTTTTTTATAAACCCAAGGCACATTTTTTAAATAATGTCACATAGCTAGTAACATGCTCAACCACACCTCCTCACTATGGAATGTCAAGCTCACCTTATATTTGCAAGTTGAAAATGACTCTACTACTTTTACAGAATAGTAAAGTTGCTGGGGCACTTTCTTGTTCATGAACTTTCATTGAAGGTGTCAATCACAAATGTCAGACGTCTTTTCACAGCCATCAATAACCCTTCACAAATCTTGTTTTTGCTCATAAAACCCCAAACGTTCAGGTATCATGAGATACATAGATGTATAAATATTGGGTGAATTTCACTCTCTGGCACTCCTTTTCCTCTGCTTGCAGTCTGACTGAAGAGAAAACAACAAAACTCTGTGAGTATTTTATACTTTTATCATGATAGATGGTTCATAATATTACCGTGCAAGAATAGTTTGATGTATAATGGAGTTCTTTATTGGTTAAATTGTTAAAAATAACTACTCTTCAGTGAATACACATCACTGGTGGTAATACAAATATAATAGGCAAACCAACTCACAAAACTTGTGTTCAAGCATTTTCAGTGTTTTAAATGGATCAAACACTGACTTTCTTTTTGTTGCAGAATCATGAGCAGAAACTTCTTGTCCAAAAATGATGAGCTCCGCTAGGGAGACCGTCTGGTGTCCGGCAGCGGAGAGTTTAAGGCTATCTTCCAGGGGAGTGACTCAGAATATTTGTGCATGTGAGACTCTTATCAGGGTGCATGCTACAAATGCTATGGTCTTTAGAGCAAACCGTTAACAATCGACTGTGTTTCTGCTGCAGGATGATGGAAACTTTGTGGTCCATGGTCCTGTGTGGGCTTCAGACACTGCAGGGTCATCCCCTTTCCGCCTGATCATGCAGGATGACTGCAACCTCCAAATCTGACTGCAATTTGTGCCACGTTCTGCTGACCGATGAGGGCAAACTGGTGGTGAAGAAGGAACAAGATGAAGTCTGGAACTCTGCTAAATCCAATGGCATGAAGTGATCCATTGTGTGTGAAAGTCATGTTTTGATGTAATGTGATTTAACATGTCTTATGTAATCTGGGATCAAATAAAAAAACTTTCATAAAGCATTTTCTCTTCTATTTGTATTGACCTACGTTCAAGAGGGCCACATTATATATGTTATACTGTATATACTCAGTGATCAACACTTTAAACACTTTTCTAAACTGATTATAGAAGCTTTGCCTATTTGAGATGATGAGTAGACTCAGTCTGAAGAGGTGAAAATGCGTCATTCTTCCATGACTTCTGTCATAAGATATATCATCCCCCTATAATTTTATGTGCATTATATTTATTTATTTAAACATTTCTTCAAACTCTACAAATGCATTGTCTGTTTTATTTCTGAATGTTATATTTAGATGCTACACAACATCACAAATGCACAGTTTAGATCAATATAAATTGATCCCATTTTTGTGGAACTAAAAGCACTCAATGGGTTAGCAAAATGTTGGTCAAAATACAAGACTTGATTTGTATCATCTCTGAATCTGTATTATGTATTAATTGTCTCTCTTGTCTTGTTATCTTCTAAAAATTGTAAAATCACTCGGTGTCTGTTTTTTCTTCTAAATTATAAGGGTGAATGCACCTCGATAGACTGCTCCACAAACTCTTTACCTTCCACTTTCAAAAGGCTGTTGTTACCTTTATGACGATTATAGAATGGATAAAGTCTCTTTAAGTGTTGCTTTTAGCATGTTTGTGTCCTGCCAGTATAGAAGACACCTATAGTTCGCCCTAAGGGAAAGCTTTGACATGAGCTTGTGAGGCAGGCGGTATACAACATATGTAGATTACAATGAATACAAACATATTTTTATGTTCCTCCATGTTGAGATTAATACATTATTCTGTTGTATGGAGCAGTGAATGCAAGTGGTTTGCCCCTTATACTGTATATACAGTCTTTTATATATTCAGTCTATGGGTTCGCATGAATTTGAAAGTCCCTGGGCTCTCTGAAACTGTAACCTATTGAGCAACCTGAGAATATATGACTCTGCATATTTGTTTAAGAATTGAGGTATATGAAAAACTATTAATGATTGTTTTTTTTATGAGTGGTGGCATGAGGGACTTGAGTCTTTTGAAATTACAGGAATGATTGCAACTTCAACACGAATCCACAAGGTGTCCCTGTTATCCTGCAGCTGTCTCCTTCATCCCTCACGGCTTCACAAAAAGTCCTTGTAGAATCTGTAATCATCAAAATGTGTTTAAAATGTCCAAATGAAATGCCAACCTCATTCTAATTATAATATCTGTATCAAGCAGAATACATCATCTACAGTAAATAATGTTAGTTTGGGGCTCACATTGGGTTCTTCCCCTCCATTTCTGGGAGACTGTCTCTCTGTTTTGTGTCCTAGATATATATCGTCTAGACAGCGCCTTTGTCTTTCCTCTGGTCCTTGTGCCAAGAGTAAATCTCATTAATAGTGAGAAGAATTGGCACTCAGGCCCTTTGTGAGCACTGTGCGCTAAAAATAGAGGAAGAAAGTGATTATTATATAAAACTGTGATTACATCCAAACTGTTTTTTCACGGTCAAGTCAGGGGATGTGAGGCAGAAAAAGTGCCAAACTGCATTTTTGACCTTTGGGGCCCCCATGAGGTCACCCCTTTGTCAACAGCACAGCACAGTTAACATGGTCCTCGTTGATGTTGTTTTAACATGCTATAGGTCAGGGGTATTCAAAAATGTTTTATTTTATGTCCACAGTACATTTAGTCAGACTTGTAAAAAAATTACAGCAAACTCCATAAAAAAATACATTTAATAAAAAATAGAAAATGACAGTAGTTTAATGTCCCTGGAAAGAGTGAATCAAAACAATTAAATAGCCTAAAAGTGACGATTATTACCACATCCCTTAAGAGAACGTAATGGCTGAATGTAGGCACATTTTTACTGGACTTAAAAAAAGCCTGCTATATTTGCATTTTGCAAGGTTGACCCAAATATATAGTACACATTAACACAATAAAAAAACTTGCTCCTCATTGAGACCTAATGTTAGAATGTCTTGTTTTCATCCCATAGCTGATTTTATTTTAAATCAGATGATCAGATGATGTTTTACACAGTATGGGCACAGGATACCCACCCTAGTTCCACAGTGTTCTTTCATATCAAACAGGGTCCTACATAATGACTTGTGTAATTTGTTTTTTCCCCAGTACTATTTTTAAAGCACAACCACTAGATGGCAAACAAGGTTAACACTGGAACACTTGTTATTCATTAATCAAAAACCTCTGCTTAATACAGATTAACATATTGTTTCTGGATGGGGCTCAAAATGATACCAAATAAGCTGCAGGTTTCTGGCT